GTTTTACGTCTGAAGTCTGAAATCTAAAATCTGAATCAATAAGACTGTTTGTTTTTGTAAACTGACAAACTTCCAAAGTCTGAAATTTGAATCAATTCATTTCAATTAAATTTAACTGAAATATCCAATCATTTAAATCATTTGCAAACTACCATGTATTTTTAGCATATTCAAAAATTTAATTGAAATACGTCAATTGATTCAACACACAACAGAAAACACGAACAAAGTCTCGTAACAACTAGAATCAATATTCATTTTGTATTAATTGTGTCACAATTTCTTCTCTTAAACTAGCCATATATGTGTGGTCAGCGGCACTCCCATGCGATTGAATCTCTTCAGCCTCATCCTCGTCATCGTTTCCTTGTTCGTTGGTTTGATCATACTCGGAAAATAACTCATCACTTAAACTTTCTTTCCGTATGAAATTGTGAACCGCAAAACATTCTTGTCCACCCCAAAACATTCTTGGGATGCGGCTCTGAAATTGATTTCCAATATAGGATTCCCACTTAATTTTAAGAGCATGGTAAGAGGTAAAAAAGCTCTTAATTTAAAAAATAAAAACAAACAGTCTGAAATCACTTATGTCTAACCGATTAAGAGTTAAGAGGCAATTAAGTGAAAATTTTAAAAAACAAACAAGCCCTTAGACAAAGAATACATGTCGTGATACTTATATACAATATCATTCGTTAATTATAATGAAAAGGAAGGAGGTTTACTACCGAGACAAAAAATTTCTCAGCCTGATATTTGAGATGAGATTACAGTTTTCTGGGTTGTATATTGTATTTCTTGTTTTGAAATGCAAATGCTTATGATTCGATGTGAATAAATATTTTGAAACGTTACTAAAATGTTTTAAAATTGTTATTTATGACATTCAGACTGTTTATTCAGCATAACAACCGAACAACAACTTATCTGTTAACAGACAGACAACCATATCCATACAGGTCTTAACAAAAAACGAACCAAATAGCCCCTAACCAAACCTTGTATATGTTTCCGATTTGAAGACCGCTGGTGTCGATCTTAATTTAAGTATTATTATTTAATAAATAATAAACCAATATATAAAGAGATAAAGAAAGATGCAGGCGATGGTAAGATTCCCATAAACGAGAAGTAAATTGGTAGACATAAGGCGCCAAATTAGCCCTTTTTGGTTTGTTCCATCTTTCTTGTGCTTTCCTTTTCAAAATTGGTCAAACACACATTTTATATTATTGCATCATTTTATTTTTATAAATATACAAGAAAAAACATATAAATATATAACCAACACTTGCGCATCCAAAAGTTTTCTCATAGTGCCACTACAATAAAATCGAGTTTATAAGACATCCCCAATCTTTAAGTGTTCCAATAGACCTCTTTAAAGGACTAAATTTATATGACCAAAATATAAAGTGTCGTATCTAAAGAGGTTGTAATAAGTTTATATGACGCTTTTGAACTTCTTAACAAGTTTTTGAGAACATTTTTAATACAAAGTATTGCATTAGCAACTTTATAGGACATTTTTTAGAAAGTATCCTATAAACTCATTTTTTTATAGGACAATTTTTCAAATAGTGTCTTATAAAGTTACTAATGGGACGCTTTATATTAAAAGTGTCCTAAAAACTTATTACGACGTCGAAACATGTCATATAAACTTATTACAACGCCTTTAGATATGACACTTTATTTTTTTGGTCCTATAAATTAAGTCCTATAAAGAGTTCTATTAGGACGCTTAAAACTTGAGAGTGTCCTATAAACCCAATTTTGTTGTAGTGTGGGTGCAATTTTATGATAGATCAAAAGCCTATAAAGTGACCTTATATGATTTTAGCCGAATTCTATCGTTTCAAACTTTTTAAAAGTTTTTTGGTTAACTTTGAGACTTTTTCGCTTTGTTAGTAGATTTCAAGGTATGTTTTTCGGTTTTTTAGTCGATGGTTCTTATATTTTCTAATATCCCAAAGCATCCTATAAAGTTTAGTTGTTGTACCTTTTATCATGAAAAAACATCCTACCTGTAAAAATAAGTTGGATAGGTACACAAGAAGCCGCTCGATTGAACGGCTACATGAGAACTGTTCAGACATTCAAAAGTACGCCCCTGAGAACGAAGAATTGTAAATAAAATACATCATGTTGGATGCTTTTTGGGTGTATATATATTTATATAAGTTGTATATACATTTAATAATACTTTATTTATTTTTAAAGTTTTATAATAACAATGATTTATTGAATACAAAAATAGACGGTAATTGTTTGGAATCTTGTTACATCAAGTTGTAGGGTGATGTGTTTGTTTAGTGATGTGAACCAATCTCCAATACTTTGACTAAATTTGAATACGAAAACTAGGGGTGTTAATAATATGGTCTAGTGGCAAACCATATTGTATATATGGTTTAAAATTTTGTATTGCATATACTTCAATCGTAAAAAACACAATGCGGTTTATATGGTTTGTATCTAACACACTTCAATCAAATTTATACTATATTATAAAACGACAAAAACTCTTAAAACCCACTTTTTATGCATAAACTACTGTTTATTAATGCATATTACTTAAAACTCAATATTACAAGTAGATTGTGCGTAAGTACAACTTATTAAAGCTCTATATCTGAATTCGTAGAACTAACTGCAGATAAACATAATCAAATACAGGATAAACATCTCATTTTAAATATAAAAAATTTAAAATATAATTAGGATAATCATTGAGTTTTAACAGAATACTTAATTATTATCTTTATAAAATTTATATTACTAACCAAAAATAAATTATTTCATTATTAAACTTAAATTAAATTATAATAAAAAAATTAAAGAAATTACATAAAAATGAAAACTTTTAAATAGTTGATTTGATATTAACATTGATATATTTTCTTCCAAAATTTTATAATATCTTCAAATTTATATTTTATTCAAAAATAAAATCATTATTGTTTTCTTAAAAACACATAATCTATACTATATTATAAAGCATTTGACAAAAACTTTTAAAAATCATTTTTATACGTAAAGTACTATTTATTAATGCATATTACTTAAAACTCAAGATTGCAAGTAAATTGTGCATAAGTACAACTTATTAAAACTTCATATATGAATTCGTGCAACTAACTGCAGATAAACATAATCAAATACAGAATAAACATCTCATTTTAAATATAAAAAATCTAAAATGTAATTAGGATAATCATTAAGTTTTAACAAAATATTTAATTATTATCTTTACAAAATGTTATATTATTAAACTAAAAATAAATTATTTCGTTATTAAACTTAAATTAAATTATAATAAAATAAATAAATTAAAGAAATTACATAAAAAATAAGAACTTTTAAATAATTGATTTGATATTAACATTGATATATTTTTTTCAAGTTTTTATGATATCTTCAAATTTATATTTTATTTAAAAAAATTATTATTGTTTTCTTAAAGATACATAAAATCGTATTATAACATCGACAGATACAAATAATAAAATATAACATTAAAATCGAGATGTGTCTCGCTGCAATGCGCAAATACTCTTCTAGTAATTATAAAATCACAACTTCAAAACTAATTCGAAAATGATGTTTCTGTATACCATACGATGAAAAGTTCCAATAGATACGAAATGCATAATTAAACACAGTGTAACGCACACTAAAGGATTTGGTAATTAGTTTAAATACATCTGAGAAGTTAATTTCAAAATAAATTTGACGATAGTGTTTGAGAAGTGACAAAAGCAAACAACTCAKATAAAAAATTACAAACGTAAAACTTTGAAGGAAAAATGAAAAATTAATCAATAATCGATAATGTATTAACTATTTTCACTTATCAATGATTATCTATATCTAGTATATATTTAAATATATATATATATATACGGTGCAGTGCAATTTAAACCGCTATTTGATTCAAAACTGCAAAATCATACGACAAAAGTGTGGGTTAGTAAAAATTTAAACTGTATGGCAGAAGTTATGAACCGCATATAGCAGTATGGTGTAAACAGTTTAAATGAACACCCCTAAGGCCCAAACGAAAATAGTATAACTAAATATTAAAGTACGTAATAAGAAGAGACGTTATTGTTCAAAAGGGAAGATTATATTAACAAATATTTATTTATGTTGTATTATCGATTCCTCTTTAACGAATGTACGAAAGGAAAAAGGAATGAAAGTAGGGAGGAAATAAAAAATGTTATGTCTCTAGTTTTTTTAAGAAATAAAATTATATATCTATCCATCAATTACAAGTTATTTGAAATAAATAAGCGTCAACCAAATTACGTGTCTTAATCCAATTAAATATTTTTAGATTTTTACCGTTTTAACTGATTTGGTGATGGATGTTGGAAAAATAATTAGATTTAGTTGGAACTTTGTATATTATCAATTTTAATATTTATAATATAATATGTTTGTTTAATATATTAAATGAAAAGTAGGGTCATTAAATATTGTGTTATTAGGTTTAAAGGGAATATGGTATGAAAAGAAGAGCTGAGAGCGAGGCCTCCGCAGTTGGCGGCACGTTATGCACCGCCAGGCCCCATGCATCTGCATGCTTCTTACCACATGCCCCCCTTCAAACTTGTAAATATTCTAATCCCTCTCATCTTTTCCTTCAAATATTCAATTTTATATATATATATATAGAAAGAGAAGAACGATTAAATACAAACCACTTAATGATAAAATAAATATTAAAAAGAGAATTAAAAATGAATGATAAAGCAATACAAATATATGTACATAGAATAGCATGGAATAAAAGAATTTCCAATATGATGAAAATAGCTACCTACCCAAAATCAATATCATATATATGGCTTTTTACTTTACCATCAAAACCTAACTTCCTCCTACTTTGTATCCCTCTATCTACCAAACCAAACCAACCAACCAACCACTTCCCTTTGTATCTAATATTTTTTATGTACAAGACCCAATCCAACCCAACCCAACCCAACCCAACCCAAATCCAATCAAAAACCCTTTCACACACCATCTTTTTCCTTTTTGACTTCAACAATATGATTTGATCAACCCCAAATTGTATAGATTCCTCCTCAATAAGTTCCCAAGTGAAACCAAAACTGCACTTCCAAGACTACCTCTGTTTTCTTCTTCACTTCCTGCCTTTCCATATGCAGCTACTTCCTTTACTCTCAAGTAACCCGACCCGATTCTTTCACGAACCGATTCTATCACCTTCATATCCACCGCTTGTCCAACGGCATCCGTTACATAGAAAACGTTGAGCGCCATACCCATGCTAGTAGATATCTCCGCCTGCATCACATTTATCGCGTTTTCTCTAAAAGTCCGCATTACTTCCGCTAGCAGCCCTGGTTTATCGGGTTTCAATAGTTCAAGCCTCACACCCTCGGATGCTCTTCTTTCGATGGCACCTCTTAAACACAGAATCACCCTTTGCTTTTCGGCTTCTGAACTAATTGGGGTTCCATCTATATGTCTGATAAAGAATTCCTGAAACAAGAAAAATGTTAAAACCTTGGATAAATGAATGTAAACCCATTTTGAATTTGGCAGTATTCGTACCAGATAAGCTCCGTCTTCTGTTGTGTCGATGGTGGCATGGAACACGACGTATTGCATATCTGTCAAAGTGCATACAACGTCGAATAAAAGCTTTGGTCGATCTTTGCACTGAATGTTGACAACAGAGTACTCTTTCTCCAAGCAATTCTGAACAGAAACCAAAAGGGAATGTTGTGTTTTTGCAATCGGAGTTCGATCATAATCACGATCTGCAAACATCATCTGGTGAAGCCGTCTCTCTGTGTGAGTGACTGCTACGGAAACCGAAGTTTTAGCGCTTCTTATATCATTATCCCCTTTCAAAACGTTTCTTAATCGAGCTTCGATTCTGTCTATTTTCTGAGAGTCTTCAATCGAGAACCCAGAATCACAATCTTTTAAATAAATGAGAGCTGCAATTCGGCCGTTATGTGTCCATACTTTGGACTCAACCACATCACAGTTGAGATCAGACAAAACCGCGAAAACTTCCGATAAAAGCCCAACTCGGTCCGTACCCGTTAGTTCCAGTGCTGTCATTCCATCAATGGACTTTGATCTTGTTCTATGAATGGTTCCAAGTGACTGTATTACAACAAAAACATTGTATCAGCCTAACTCCATCAACCAGAAGACAGAGTCAATGGAAGAAAGAGGGCAAATCTGCGCCTCTAAAAATCCTTCAAGAGAAATACCCTTTTGTGATTGGTAATTAGAAGGGAATTTATTTACCTGCTCAATGCAATTGATAATGCTATCATCTGTTAGTTTGCTGCCATCCAAATTCGTGACATGAAAGACTGTAGATAATGAGATTAAAACTGAATCAGTAAAGTTTCATCACTCAAATCAGACAAAATGATTAAGGGATTTAGTCTGAAAAGTAAATTAAATTTGTGAATGATGAAATCAGTTGCAAAATTGAAGTGGGCTTACCATCCATGTTCCATCTTCCATCAGAGGAAACATAACCCTTTTTAATGGAAAGGTTCAGATCTGTGAGGACTTGAACTGCATCCAGAAGAATTCCATCCTTCTTCGCACTATCAATCTGAAAACAAAAGAAAATTAATAACAAAAATCAATCAAATTCGAAAGTTGAATTAAACGATAGAAATTGGTTGATTAAGTTAGAAACATACCATGATGCGAGTTGCGTTTACACAACCAGCATTGTCAATCATGACCCTGCCAAAGAAACATGAAACCGACAAGTCAGCGAACGCGCAAGGAAATTGATATTCTGAACATAAGAAAATCGTAAGGGAAAATAGGGAAAAGTCCATCGAAGAAGTCAAAATTTGATTGCGAATGAAACTTCTGGAAGAATACCGATTGATTTGAAGAACCAGTACGAAAAACTTGTAAAAAAATGTTGCGAACTTTAAGATCATTCGGTCTTAAAACACGATCAAACATCAAAATCAATTCCTTCTGCTAACAATTTTCACAAAAATCTGTTGTCATGTGATTTCAAAAACCTAAAAGATGAAAAGAAAGATAGAATTAACTGACCTTGGAGTGTTCATACGAACAACAAGCTTTTCATACTCCTCCAATATGGGTCTCCGGTACATCTGCATCATGTTTTCTGTAATTCCTCCGGCGAATGAATCAATACCCCCGGAGAAGAAGCTTTTAATGGAGTGGAAGAAAGAAAGAGAGAAACAAACAGATTTGAAGAAATTGTTAGCTTTATCGACTAAATCGTCATGAAAGATACACCTCTTCTTCCACTTTCTCTCTCTACAACCACGCTTTTCGTTTAATTGTCTCCCTATGAGCGTGCCTCCCTCATATTTATATTTGAAGCAGTAAGTTTTGTTATAAATTAGAATTAAAAATCATTAAATTTAATGATAAGTATTTTATTAATTAATAAAAGATTTCTTTCTATACAAGTCAACATGACACGTGTCATGCAAATCGGTGCCAGGTAGGACCGAATTGCTCTTTGCTTGCCTTCAACTTCAAACAATTTTAAAGGAAGCAACGGCAGGGGATTGCCACGTGGGAACAAATATTTGAAAAGCAAATTTTAATTTAATTTAATTTAATTACGATTAAAAACTGAATTCAAAATAAATAAAAAAATGAATAATGATGATGGAGGTTGCCGACGGCATAATGACGGCCACACTTGACAACCACCGCCTATTAATTGGCTTTTCCGTTGTCTAAAATTAACGCCGGTTTTTTTGTTTTTATTTTTTATTTTATGTATTTAAACAGCAACAAGGTTTATTTGTATTTATGTTTGGAAAAATATGTGCTGGCCAAATTAATTAATTTATTAATTTTGATTCCGAATATTCTGCATTTAATTGATTAGCAAATACTATTGTTATTTCTATTTTTACTTAATCATTATGAAGGAGTAATTAATTTAGATGATGATGATGATGATGATGATGATGATGATGATGATGCCAGCAAGGATGGCATGGACATGGTATCAAGAAATTGAATACTGGGGGAGTGGTCACGTGACTGGCAGATGTCTCCCACACCCACTCTTTTTGACCCTCAATATTTGTGATGTCGGCCCTACTTCCATTCTCTCTCTTTAATTTCCATGTTGGCATGGTCTCATGTTCACATGATCATCGTTTTCTTTTCTTTTTTCGTTTTTATTTAATTAATCCTTTCCTTATATTTACCCACGGTATTGTTAGGGTTGGTTCTCTTAAAATGAAAGTTATGGTAAAATAGATAAGAAAACATTTTTATTTTTTGAATCAATCTTAATTATAGATCAATTCATGTATTAAGCGTTATTTATGGGTGGAGATAAAATTAAAAGTGATCAATGATTCAGATCGTTTCTTATCTTAATTTAATTTCTGTTCTCACAAATTCATTCATCGGTATTACTATATGCATTTCTATTTATATTAAATTCAAAATATATAAGTTTTGATATTGATGTGTGTGAGAATAAAATTAATAGGTAGAGATGCATGTAAAATATATAGAGGTGCATTTAGCTTACCTCATCCACCTGATCACTTACTATAGTTACGTATTAGCCTCATAGGGGGAGAATTATGCGAGAAACAAATTAATTTGCGAGAAAAAAATGTGGGTCGCATGCCTTATTTAATAAAATAGATTAAACAAAAGCATTATTAAATTAAATTAAATTAAAGCGTAACTTATATCATGGTTTTGAATAACTTATTATGGCGTCAAGGCTTGGGTTCGCCCCCGCGTTAACCCCCATGGCTCCACTCTAACGCTTAGTTTCCACTATAACGTGTTAATTATGGGGGGGTTATGACATGTTACGATGCCTTATTTTGCAAAGTGTGAGGCTGCTTTAATACATAATTTGAACGATAAATGATAACTATATATAAGACTTATGTCTTAAATAAACTTCTATGTGAATAAATACTTTTATTAATTTCATTTTATATAATATTTTTTTTCTTGTTACATTTGTAATAGTGTAAATGAAGTGAAATAGAGTTCCTCTATTGAATGCAAAAAAACTATTGATATAATGAGATAGGTGGACAAGTAGTGTGTTATTATTTGCAAAAGTTCACATTCAATTCACCACCCAACAACCTTATGCCACTATCACCCCTCCAACTCTACCATCATCCCCTCCAACAGCAACGATTTTATTGGTTTAACTAGGGGTCTATAAAAAACCATCAAACCCAATCCAATTCGTTAAGAACCCACTAAAGCATCAAACCGTCATTAAGAGGGTTGAAATTGGCTGGTTTGACCTAGCACAATCCGACCCAACCAGTTAACTTACCGCTAATGTATATAACTTTGATAAAGTTATATATATATATATATATATATAGAGAGAGAGAGAGAGAGAGAGAGAGAGAAAGAGAAAGACTTTTGATTATGTGAGAACAGATTGTTTTCGTGAGACCCATGAGACCATTTATATGACATTGAACCCTTACAACAAAAAACATTGTAAAGGTAAACTTTCACAAACGTTTTTGTTGTGAAGGTTTGTAGTTTTTCAAACGTTCACAATGAATTGTTGTGAAATTTCAATATATTTGTGGTGTCATTGGTCTTATCGAAAGCAGGTTGGTTGAGTAAACCAACCCTATATACATATAGGGGAGATTTATTTTGTAAACTTGTAAGTTTTACAAACCGATCTCAACCATACATGTAGATAATCAATAGTGTGGACTAATTCAGTTTCTAAATTTACTCTTAGCTGCATTTTATAATCACCTAAAATTTTAAAATAAACAAAATCAATGGTTGAGATTAAGTTTGCAGGGTTTGTAAAAATTATATGGTTTATATTTGAGTTTAGGGTTTACCCTATGTGTGTGTGTGTATATATATTAATATTTTGTAAACTTTTATATAATGTTTATATTTTTTATTTTAGCTAAATGTATAACTTGCCAAAAGAGATTCACCATCAAAGAATGATAACAAATAATTTAATAGAAGAAAATTATTGAAAATGTTTTTGTAGCAACAACAAATTGATATCCGGAAGAATAAGAATGATATTGATAGATCATGTTGATAGATATTTGATTGACGAATTTATGAATTCCAATATCTCTCTCTTTGATGTTGTACTTTGATGAAAAAAGATGTTAATAATTATAGCATTTCACTGCAACAACATTAGATTCTTACAATGCGTGAAATGTTTAAGTGTTCTGGTATGATACTTTTTAGGACAAAACGAAAAAAATTCATACCTAAAAGTGTTACAATATGTTTATAGTACATTTTTGTGTCTAAACAAATTTTTAGGATGCTTCTAAAATAAAGTGTTATATTAGCTATTTTATACAACATTAATAAAGTGTTAATTTCAAACTCGGGTTGAGTTAACTTCAAATTACCTAATCCAATGGATGTGGTTTGATCTATTTTTGTATTAACTATAGGTCGGGTTACCTTGGGTTGAGGGTTTTTTTTTTTTTTTTGCGTTGATCGGGTTTGTCGGTTTTTTAAACACCCCTAGTTTGAACATTTGAATGTTTGCAAGTTTTATTCATTGCAATTAAAACCCTTAAACATCACATATGTAATTTGAAACTCAAAATGTCACTCAAAATATGAACACAATGGCAAACTTTTATCTATGTAACTTGAAGTTGGTAAAAAACCAGTAACAAAAAAAAAATCAGTGTCATTTAAGTTGATAACAAGTTTAGTTGGTTGGTATATGGTACAAGATTTTGTGTACTAATTATAATTGGTCAATACATAAGGGGCTTAATTATTTAAGAACTCCAAAATTTGTGAAATCCGTAAGAATTTTTACCTTAAAGTTTTGTTTCACATGGTCTTTTTTCGTCAAAGTATAATATTCAATGTAATGGTTAACATAGATTTGTTTCATAACGTGTTTGTTTCATATGTATTCGGTTCACAATAATATTCTTTATGTGAATTTTTTGTTTCACAAACATGTCAAAAATGTTTGCATTATGAATTGAATACATGTGAAATAAATATATGTTAATCAATATTTTAAAACTTAGTCTTAGATAGTTAAAAACTAATATGAAATAACACATGATGCACAAATTCTCAAGGTTATCATAATTTCATTAGTTTTTGGACCACCTTGTTTGTATTAGTTAATGTATTATATTACTAGAAGAGTGTTCTCGTAATGCAACGAGATATATCTCAATTTGAATGTTTCATTTTATTATTTGTCTACGTCGATATAATATGGTTTTGAGAAAACGATAATGTTTTTATTTTTGATCATTTTATATTATAATTCAACTAATTTTGTTAAATATGATTTATTTACCAGCTATCAATTAGTTGGATAAACATAACTTTAATGTATTTATGTTGTGTTAATGTGTTTATATATTCTACAAGTGTGAATGACTAAACTCAATGGAAAAGAAAGGGAGGGAAGATTCAGCCATTTGAACAAGAGGTCTTGACTTATTTTTAACAACTCCGCCAACATGGTAGGGTTACCCATAGATCTTCCCGCCATAATATCTACTTGGGACCCATCATTTTGACACGTGGACGACATCTGGCTCAGCTTAATCATCAGCTTTTGCGCGCCAAATTCTTTACTCCTAAAGTCTATTCTACACAAATATCCTTCTTTTAACACAAAAATCTTCAACATATATATGTTATTTTTATTCTCAAATAATTCAAAGTTATATATATATATATATTATTTTTAAAGGCAACATGTTATTAAAATAAAGAGGAGCAATACAAGGAAGAAAAATCCGAGAAAAAGTCTGACACGATTAGAGAAGAATTACAAATAATCAAATGATTGAGTTAGAGGACAAAACACTGATTAGTCTCGACGAAGGATGAGCGGATGCTATAAGGCATCTCGATCGTTGATGGAGAGGCAAGATTGGATTCTTGATTCACAACTCCCGTGAAAATGTTCCCTTTATTGCTTCGTCTTATCATCCATTTGAAAATTTGAACTTGCATATCAACAAATAGTATCTCGGCAGAGTCCGATTTGTTTATGAAGATTGTGGTGTTATGGTGACTCCAAAACAAGTATAGGTAGTGCAAATGGAAGCATGTAGCCTGTAGGACTTGATTTAACCATGTAGCCCGAGCAACATTGAGCCTTCTCACATGTAACTCAGTTGGTAAAGGGACGAGACAATTTTGCTCAAATACAAGACAAGTCTCGGGTTCGGTACCGACCTCCCAATTAGTCATAAAAGAATTTTTATTTATGTTAATAAAAAGTAAGGGAACGAGTGGAAAGAAGTAAATTTTTGGACTTTTACAT